AACACACGGTGGGTTGAACACACGGTAGGTTTAACACATGGTGGGTTGAACACACAGTGGGTTGAACACACGGTGGGTTGAACACACAGTGGGTTGAACACACGGTGGGTTGAACACACGGTAGGTTTAACACACGGTGTGTTTAACACACGGTGGGTTTAACACACGGTAGGTTTAACACACGGTGGGTTGAACACACGGTGGGTCTAACACACGGTGGGTTTAACACACGGTGGGTTTAACACACGATGGGTTGAACACACGGTGGGTTGAACACACGGTAGGTTTAACACACGGTGGGTTTAACACACGGTGGGTTGAACACACGGTGGGTTGAACACACGGTAGGTTTAACACACGGTTGGTTGAACACACAGTGGGTTTAACACACGGTAGGTTTAACACACGGTGGGTTGAATACACGGTGGGTTTAACACACGGTGGGTTTAACACACGGTGGGTTTAACACACGATGGGTTTAACACACGGTGGGTTTAACACACGATGGGTTTAACACACGGTGGGTTTAACACACGGTGGGTTGAACACACGGTAGGTTAAACACATGGTGGGTTGAACACACAGTGGGTTGAACACACGGTGGGTTGAACACACAGTGGGTTGAACACACGGTGGGTTTAACACACGGTAGGTTTAACACACCGTGGATGGAACACACGGTGGGTTTAACACACGGTAGGTTTAACACACGGTGGGTTGAACACACGGTGGGTTTAACACACGGTGGGTTGAACACACGGTGGGTTGAACACACGGTAGGTTTAACACACGGTGGGTTTAACACACGGTGGGTTTAACACACCGTGGGTTTAACACACGGTGTGTTTAACACACGGTGGGTTTAACACACGGTGGGTTTAACACACGGTGGGTTTAACACACGGTGGGTTGAACGCACGGTGGGTTTAACACACGGTGGGTTTAACACACGGTGGGTTTAACACACGATGGGTTGAACACACGGTGGGTTGAACACACGGTAGGTTTAACACACGGTGGGTTTAACACACGGTGGGTTTAACACACGGTGGGTTGAACACACGGTGGGTTGAACACACGGTAGGTTTAACACACGGTGGGTTGAACACACGGTGGGTCTAACACACGGTAGGTTTAACACACGGTGGGTTGAACACACGGTGGGTTTAACACACGGTGGGTTTAACACACGGTGGGTTTAACACACGGTGGGTTTAACACACGGTGGGTTTAACACACGGTAGGTTTAACACACAGTAGGTTGAACACACGGTGGGTTGAACACAAGGTGGGTTGAACACACGGTGGGTTGAACACACAGTGGGTTGAACACACGGTGGGTTGAACACACGGTAGGTTTAACACACGGTGGGTTTAACACACGGTGGGTTTAACACACGGTGGGTTAACACGGGTTGAACACACGGTGGGTTTAACACACGGTGGGTTTAACACACGGTGGGTTTAACACACGGTGGGTTGAATACACGGTAGGTTGAACACACAGTGGGTTGAACACACGGTGGGTTGAACACACGGTGGGTTTAACACACGGTGGGTTTAACACACGGTGGGTTTAACACACGGTGGGTTTAACACACGGTGGGTTGAACACACGGTGGGTTTAACACACGATGGGTTTAACACACGGTGGGTTTAACACACGGTGGATTGAACACACGGTAGGTTTAACACATGGTGGGTTGAACACACAGTGGGTTGAACACACGGTGGGTTGAACACACAGTGGGTTGAACACACGGTGGGTTTAACACACGGTAGGTTTAACACACCGTGGGTTGAACACACGGTGGGTTTAACACACGGTAGGTTGAACACACGGTGGGTTGAACACACGGTGGGTTTAACACACGGTGGGTTGAACACACGGTGGGTTGAACACACGGTAGGTTTAACACACGGTGGGTTTAACACACGGTGGGTTTAACACACCGTGGGTTTAACACACGGTGTGTTTAACACACGGTGGGTTTAACACACGGTGGGTTTAACACACGGTGGGTTTAACACACGGTGGGTTGAACATACGGTGGGTTTAACACACGGTGGGTTTAACACACGGTGGGTTTAACACACGATGGGTTGAACACACGGTGGGTTGAACACACGGTAGGTTTAACACACGGTGGGTTTAACACACGGTGGGTTTAACACACGGTGGGTTGAACACACGGTGGGTTGAACACACGGTAGGTTTAACACACGGTGGGTTGAACACACGGTGGGTTTAACACACGGTAGGTTTAACACACGGTGGGTTGAACACACGGTGGGTTTAACACACGGTGGGTTTAACACACGGTGGGTTTAACACACGGTGGGTTTAACACACGGTGGGTTTAACACACGGTAGGTTTAACACACAGTAGGTTGAACACACGGTGGGTTGAACACACGGTGGGTTGAACACACGGTGGGTTGAACACACAGTGGGTTGAACACACGGTGGGTTGAACACACGGTAGGTTTAACACACGGTGGGTTTAACACACGGTGGGTTTAACACACGGTGGGTTTAACACACGGTGGGTTGAACACACGGTGGGTTTAACACACGGTGGGTTTAACACACGGTGGGTTTAACACACGATGGGTTGAACACACGGTGGGTTTAACACACGGTAGGTTTAACACACGGTGGGTTTAACACACGGTGGGTTTAACACACGGTGGGTTGAACACACGGTGGGTTGAACACACGGTAGGTTTAACACACGGTGGGTTTAACACACGGTAGGTTTAACACACGGTGGGTTGAACACACGGTGGGTTTAACACACGGTGGGTTTAACACACGGTGGGTTTAACACACGGTGGGTTTAACACACGGTGGGTTTAACACACGGTAGGTTTAACACACAGTAGGTTGAACACACGGTGGGTTGAACACACGGTGGGTTGAACACACGGTGGGTTGAACACACAGTGGGTTGAACACACGGTGGGTTGAACACACGGTAGGTTTAACACACGGTGGGTTTAACACACGGTGGGTTTAACACACGGTGGGTTTAACACACGGTGGGTTGAACACACGGTGGGTTTAACACACGGTGGGTTTAACACACGGTGGGTTTAACACACGATGGGTTGAACACACGGTGGGTTGAACACACGGTAGGTTTAACACACGGTGGGTTTAACACACGGTGGGTTTAACACACGGTGGGTTGAACACACGGTGGGTTGAACACACGGTAGGTTTAACACACAGTGGGTTGAACACACGGTGGGTTTAACACACGGTAGGTTTAACACACGGTGGGTTTAACACACAGTGGGTTGAACACACGGTGGGTTTAACACACGGTGGGTTTAACACACGGTGGGTTTAACACACGATGGGTTGAACACACGGTGGGTTGAACACACGGTAGGTTTAACACACGGTGGGTTTAACACACGGTGGGTTTAACACACGGTGGGTTGAACACACGGTGGGTTGAACACACGGTAGGTTTAACACACGGTGGGTTGAACACACGGTGGGTTTAACACACGGTAGGTTTAACACACGGTGGGTTGAACACACGGTGGGTTTAACACACGGTGGGTTTAACACACGGTGGGTTTAACACACGGTGGGTTTAACACACGGTGGGTTTAACACACGGTGGGTTGAACACACGGTAGGTTTAACACATGGTGGGTTAAACACACAGTGGGTTGAACACACGGTGGGTTGAACACACAGTGGGTTGAACACACGGTGGGTTTAACACACGGTAGGTTTAACACACGGTGGGTTGAACACACGGTGGGTTTAACACACGGTAGGTTTAACACACGGTGGGTTGAACACACGGTGGGTTGAACACACGATGGGTTGAACACACGGTGGGTTGAACACACGGTAGGTTTAACACTCGGTGGGTTTAACACACGGTGGGTTTAACACACGGTGGGTTGAACACACGGTGGGTTGAATACACGGTAGGTTTAACACACGGTGGGTTGAACACACAGTGGGTTGAACACACGGTGGGTTGAACACACGGTAGGTTTAACACATGGTGGGTTGAACACACGGTGGGTTGAACACACGGTGGGTTGAACACACGGTCGGTTGAACACACGGTAGGTTCAACACACGGTGGGTTGAACACACGGTGGGTTGAATACACGGTGGGTTGAATACACGGTGGGTTGAACACACGGTGGGTTTAACACACGGTGGGTTTAACACACGGTGGGTTTAACACATGGTGGGTTGAACACACGGTGGGTTGAACACACGGTGGGTTTAACACACGATGGGTTGAACACACGGTGGGTTGAACACATGGTAGGTTTAACACACGGTGGGTTTAACACACGGTGGGTTTAACACACGGTGGGTTGAACACACGGTGGGTTGAACACACGGTAGGTTTAACACACGGTGGGTTGAACACACGGTGGGTTTAACACACGGTGGGTTGAACACACGGTGGGTTGAACTCACGGTGGGTTGAACACACGGTGGGTTGAACACACGGTAGGTTTAACACACGGTGGGTTTCACACACGGTGGGTTTAACACACGGTGGGTTGAACACACGGTGGGTTGAACACACGGTGGGTTGAACACACGCTAGGTTTAACACACGGTGGGTTGAACACACGGTGCGTTGAACACACGGTGGGTTGAACATACGGTGGGTTTAACACACAGTGGGTTGAACACACGGTAGGTTTAACACACGGTGGGTTTCACACACTGTGGGTTGAACACACGGTAGGTTTAACACACGGTGGGTTTCACACACGGTGGGTTTAACACACGGTGGGTTTAACACACGGTGGGTTGAACACACGGTGGGTTGAACACACGGTGGGTTGAACACACGGTGGGTTTAACACACGGTGGGTTTAACACACGGTGGGTTGAACACACGGTGGGTAGAACTCACGGTGGGTTGAACACACGGTGGGTTGAACACATGGTAGGTTTAACACACGGTGGGTTTCACACACGGTGGGTTTAACACACGGTGGGTTTAACACACGGTGGGTTGAACACACGGTGGGTTGAACACACGGTGGGTTGAACACACGTCCAAGTCCACGTCCACGTCCAGGTCCACGTCCACGTCCACGTCCACGTCCTCCACGTCCACGTCCACGTGCTCCACGTCCATGTCCATGTCCAAGTCCACGTCCAGGTCCAGCTCCACGTCTACGTCCACGTCCACGTCCACGACCACGTCCACTTCCACGTCCACGTCGAGGTCCACGTCCACGTCAACGACCACGACCACGTCCACGTCCACGACCACGTCCACGTCCACGTCCACGTCCACGTCCAAGTCCACGTCCACGTCCACGTCCTCGTCCAGGTCCACGTCCAGGTCCACGTCCAGTCCACGTCCACGTCCACGTCCACGACCACGTCCACATCCACGTCCACGACCACGTCCACGTCCACGTCCACGTCCACGACCACGTCCACGTCCACGTCCACGTCCAAGTCCACGACCACGTCCACGTCCACGTCCACGTCCACAACCACGTCCACGTCCACGTCCACGTCCACGACCACGTCGACATCCACGTCCACGACCACGTCCACGTCCACGTCCATGTCCAGGTCCAGGTCCACGTCCACGACCACGTTCGCGACCACGTCCACGTCCACCTCAACGTCCACGACAACGTCCACGTCCACGTCCACGTCCACGTCCACGTCCAAGTCCACGTCCATGTCCACGTCCACGTCCACGTCCACGACCAGGTCCACGTCCACGTCCTCGACCACGTCCACGTCCACGTCCACGACCACGTCCACGTCCACGTCCACGTCCACGTCCACGACCACGTCCACGTCCACGACCAAGTCCACGTCTACGACCACGTCTATGTCCACGACCACGTCAACGTCCACATCCACGTCCAAGTCCACGTCCACGTCCACGTACACGTCCAAGTCCAAGACAACGTCCACGTCCACGTCGACGTCCACGACCACGTCCACGTCCACGTCCGAGTCCACGTCCAGGTCCAGGTCCACGTCCACGTCCAGGTCCAGGTCCACATCAACGTCCACGTCCACGACCACGTCCACGTCCACGTTCACGTCCACGTCCATGTCCACGTCCACGTCCACGTCCACGTCCACGTCCACATCCACGTCCACGACCACGTCCACGTCCATGTCCACGTCCAAGTCCACGTCCACGTCCACGTCCACGTCCACGACCACGTCCACGACCACGTCCACGTCCATGTCCACGTCCACGTCCAGGTCCACGACCACGTCCACGTCCAGGTCCACGTCCACGTCCACGTCCAGTCCACGTCCACGTCCACGTCCACGACCACGTCCAGGTCCACGTCCAGTCCACGTCCACGTCCACGTCCACGACCACGTCCACATCCACGTCCACGACCACGTCCACGTCCACGTCCACGACCACGTCCACGTCCACGTCCACGTCCAAGTCCACGACCACGTCCACGTCCACATCCACGTCCACGACCACGTCCACGTCCACGACCACGTCCACGTCCACGTCCACGACCACGTCCACGTCTACGTCCACGACCACGTCCACGTCCACGACCAAGTCCACGTCTACGACCACGTCCACGTCCACGACCACGTCAACGTCCACATCCACGTCCAAGTCCACGTCCACGTCCACGTACGCGTCCAAGTCCAAGACCACGTCCACGTCCACGTCGACGTCCACGACCACGTCCACGTCCACGTCCGAGTCCACGTCCAGGTCCAGGTCCACGTCCACGTCCAGGTCCAGGTCCACATCAACGTCCACGTCCACGACCACGTCCACGTCCACGTTCACGTCCACGTCCAGGTCCACGTCCACGTCCACGTCCACGTCCACGTCCACGTCCACATCCACGTCCACGACCACGTCCACGTCCATGTCCACGTCCAAGTCCACGTCCACGTCCACGTCCACGTCCAAGTCCACGTCCAGGTCCACGTCCAGTCCACGTCCACGTCCATGTCCACGACCACGTCCACATCCACGTCGACGACCACGTCCACGTCCACGTCCACGACCACGTCCACGTCCACGTCCACGTCCAAGTCCACGACTACGTCCACGTCCACGTCCACGTCTACAACCACGTCCACGTCCACGACCACGTCCACGTCCACGTGCACGACCACGTCCACGTCCACGTCCACGTCCAGGTCGAGGTCCACGTCCACGTCCACGTTCGCGACCACGTCCACGTCCACGTCAACGTCCACGACAACGTCCACGTCCACGTCCACGTCCACGTCCAAGTCCACGTCCATGTCCACGTCCACGTCCACGTCCACGACCAGGTCCACGTCCACGTCCTCGACCACGGCCACGTCCACGTCCACGTCCACGTCCAAGTCCACGTCCACGTCCACGACCACGACCACGTCCACGTCCACGACCACGTCCACGTCCACGACCACGTCCACGTCCACGTCCACGACCACGTCTACGACCACGTCCACGACCACGTCCACGTCCTTGACCAAGTCCACGTCTACGACCACGTCCACGTCCGTCAACGTCCACATCCACGTCCAAGTCCAAGACCACGTCCACGTCCACGTCGACGTCCACGACCACGTCCACGTCCACGTCGGAGTCCACGTCCAGGTCCAGGTCCACGTCCACGTCCAGGTCCACGTCCACGTCCACGTCCACGACCACGTCCACGTCCATGTCCACGTCCACGTCCACGTCCAGGTCCACGTCTACGTCCACGTCCACGTCCAGGTCCACGTCCACGTCCACGACCACGTCCACGTCCAGGTCCACGTCCATGTCCACGTCCACGTCCACGACCACGTCCACGTCCACGTCCACGTCCAAGTCCACGACCACGTCCACATCTACGTCCACGTCGACGTCCATTACCACTTCCACGTCCACGACCACGTCCACGACCACGTCCACGTCCACGTCCACGTCCAAGTCCACGTCCAGGTCGACGTCCACGTCCATGTCCACGTCCACGTCCTCCACGTCCACGTCCAGGTGCTCCACGTCCACGTCCACGTCCATGTCCAAGTCCACGTCCAGGTCCACGTCCACGTCAACGTCCACGTCCACGTCCACGACCACGTCCACTTCCACGTCCACGTCGAGGTCCACGTCCACGTCCACGTCCACGTCCACGTCCATGACCACGTCCACGTCCACGTCCACGACCACATCCACGTCCACGTCCACATCCATGACCACGTCCACGTCCACGTCCACGTCCACGTCGACCTCCAAGTCCACGTCCACGACCACGTCCACGTCCACGTCCACATCCAAGTCCACGTTCACGACCACGTCCACTTCCACGTCCACGTCCACGTCCACATCCATGACCACGTCCACGTCCACGACCACGTCCACGTCCACGTCCACATCCAAGTCCACGTTCACGACCACGTCCACTTCCACGTCCAGGTCCAGGTCCACGTCCACGTCCACGTCCACGTCCACGACCACGTCCTCTTCCACGTCCACGTCGAAGTCCACGTCGACGTCCACGTCCACGTCCACGTCCATGACCACGTCCACGTCCACGACCACGTCCACGTCCACGTCCACATCCAAGTCCACGTTCACGTCCACGTCCACGTCCAGGTCCACGTCCAGGTCCACGTCCAGTCCACGTCCACGTCCACGTCCACGACCACGTCCACATCCACGTCCACGACCACGTCCACGTCCACGTCCACGACCACGTCCACGTCCACGTCCACGTGCACGACCACGTCCACGTCCACGTCCACGTCCAGGTCGAGGTCCACGTCCACGTCCACGTTCGCGACCACGTCCACGTCCACGTCAACGTCCACGACAACGTCCACGTCCACGTCCACGTCCACGTCCACGTCCACGTCCAAGTCCACGTCCATGTCCACGTCCACGTCCACGTCCACGACCAGGTCCACGTCCACGTCCTCGACCACGTCCACGTCCACGTCCACGTCCAAGTCCACGTCCACGTCCACGACCACGACCACGTCCACGTCCACGACCACGTCCACGTCCACGACCACGTCCACGTCCACGTCCACGACCACGTCCACGACCACGTCCACGTCCTTGACCAAGTCCACGTCTACGACCACGTCCACGTCCGTCAACGTCCACATCCACGTCCAAGTCCAAGACCACGTCCACGTCGACGTCCACGACCACGTCCACGTCCACGTCAGAGTCCACGTCCACGTCCAGGTCCACGTCCACGTCCACGTCCACGTCCAGGTCCACGTCCACGTCCACGTCCACGTCCACGTCCACGACCACGTCCACGTCCACGTCCATGTCCACGTCCACGTCCACGTCCAGGTCCACGTCTACATCCACGTCCACGTCCAGGTCCACGTCCACGTCCACGACCACGTCCACGTCCAGGTCCACGTCCATGTCCACGTCCACGTCCACGACCACGTCCACGTCCACGTCCACGTCCAAGTCCACGACCACGTCCACATCTACGTCCACGTCGACGTCCATTACCACTTCCACGTCCACGACCACGTCCACGACCACGTCCACGTCCACGTCCACGTCCAAGTCCACGTCCAGGTCGACGTCCACGTCCATGTCCACGTCCACGTCCTCCACGTCCACGTCCAGGTACTCCACGTCCACGTCCACGTCCATGTCCAAGTCCACGTCCAGGTCCAGGTCCACGTCGACGTCCACGTCCACGTCCACGACCACGTCCACTTCCACGTCCACGTCGAGGTCCACGTCCACGTCCACGTCCACGTCCACGTCCATGACCACGTCCACGTCCACGTCCACGACCACATCCACGTCCACGTCCACATCCATGACCACGTCCACGTCCACGTCCACGTCCACGTCGACCTCCAAGTCCACGTCCACGACCACGTCCACGTCCACGTCCACATCCATGTCCACGTTCACGACCACGTCCACTTCCACGTCCACGTCCACGTCCACATCCATGACCACGTCCACGTCCACGTCCACGACCACGTCCACGTCCACGTCCACATCCAAGTCCACGTTCACGACCACGTCCACTTCCACGTCCAGGTCCAGGTCCACGTCCACGTCCACGTCCACGTCCACGACCACGTCCTCTTCCACGTCCACGTCGAAGTCCACGTCCACGTCCACGTCCACGTCCACGTCCATGACCACGTCCACGTCCACGACCACGTCCACGTCCACGTCCACATCCAAGTCCACGTTCACGTCCACGTCCACGTCCAGGTCCACGTCCAGGTCCACGTCCAGTCCACGTCCACATCCACGTCCACGACCACGTCCACGTCCACGTCCACATCCATGACCACGTCCACGTCCACGTCCACGACCACGTCCACGTCCACATCTACGTCCAAGTCCACGTCCTCGTCCACGTCCACAACCACGTCCACGTCCACGTCCACATCCACGTCCACGACCACGTCCACGTCCACGTCCACGACCACGTCCACGTCCACGTCCACGTCCAGGTCCACGTCCACGTCCACGTCCACGTTCGCGACCACGTCCACGTCCACGTCAACGTCCACGAAAACATCTACGTCCACGTCCACGTCCACGTCCACGTCCACGTCCAAGTCCAGGACCACGTCCACGTCCACGTCCACAACTACGTCCACGTCCACATCCACGTCCACGTCCACGACCACGTCGACGTCCACATCCACGACCACGTCCACGTCCACGTCCAGGTCCAGGTCCACGTCCACTTCCACGTTCGCGACCACATCAACGTCCACGTCAACGTCCACGACAACGTCCACGTCCACGTCCACATCCACGTCCAAGTCCACGTCCATGTCCACGTCCACGTCCACGACCATGTCCACGTCCACGTCCTCGACCACGTCCACGTCCACGACCACGTCCACGTCCACGTCCAAGTCCACGTCCACGTCCACGACCACGTCCACGTCCACGACCACGTCCACGTCCACGACCACGTCCACGTCCACGTCCACGACCACGTCGACGTCCACGTCCACGACCAAGTCCACGTCTACAACCACGTCCACGTCCACGACCACGTCCACGTCCACATCCACGTCCAAGTCCACGTCCACGTCCACGTCCACGTCCAAGTCCAAGACCACGTCCACGTCCACGTCCACGTCGACGTCCACGACCACGTCCACGTCCACGTCTGAGTCCACGTCCAGGTCCACGTCCACGTCTAGGTCCACGTCCACGTCCACGTTCACGTCCACGACCACGTCCACGTCCACGTCCACGTCCATGTCCACGTCCACGTCCACGTCCACGTCCAGGTCCACGTCTACGTCCACGTCCACGTCCAGGTCCACGTCCACGTCCACGACCACGTCCACGTCCAGGTCCACGTCCATGTCCACGTCCACGTCCACGACCACGTCCACGTCCACGTCCACGTCCAAGTCCACGACCACGTCCACGTCCACGTCCAAGTCCACGACCACGTCCACATCCACGTCCATGTCGACGTCCATGACCACTTCCACGTCCACGTCCAGGTCCACGTCCACGTCCACGTCCACGACCACGTCCACAACCACGTCCACGTCCACGTCCACGTCCACGTCCAAGTCCATGTCCAGGTCGACGTCCACGTCCACGTCCACGTCCACGTCCTCCACGTCCACGTCCAGGTGCTCCACGTCCACGTCCACGTCCATGTCCAAGTCCACGTCCAGGTCCAGGTCCACGTCGACGTCCACGTCCACGTCCACGACCACGTCCACTTCCACGTCCACGTCGAGGTCCACGTCCACGTCCATGTCCACGTCCACGTCCATGACCACGTCCACGTCCACATCCACGACCACGTCCACGTCCACGTCCACATCCAAGTCCACATTCACGTCCACGTCCACGTCCAAGTCCACGTCCAGGTCCACGTCCAGTCCACGTCCACGTCCACGTCCACGACCACGACCACGTCCACGACCACGTCCACGTCCACGTCCACGTCCACGTCCACGACCACGTCCACGTCCACATCTACGTCCAAGTCCACGTCCACGTCCACGTCCACGTCCACAACCACGTCAACGTCCACGTCCACATCCACGTCCACGACCACGTCCACGTCCACGTCCACGACCACGTCCACGTCCACGTCCACGTCCAGGTCCACGTCCACGTCCACGTCAACGACCACGAAAACGTCTATGTCCACGTCCACGTCCACGTCCACGTCCACGAAACCGTCTACGTTTGCGACCACGTCCACGTCCACGTCAACGTCCACAAAAACGTCTACGTCCACGTCCACGTCCACGTCCACATCCACGTCCAAGTCCAGGACCACGTCCACGTCCACGTCCACAACTACGTCCATGTCCACGTCCACGTCCACATCCACGTCCACGTCCACGACCACGTCGACGTCCACATCCACGACCACGTCCACGTCCACGTCCAGGTCCAGGTCGACGTCCACTTCCACGTTCGCGACCACATCAACGTCCACGTCAACGTCCACGACAACGTCCACGTCCACGTCCACATCGACGTCCACGTCCAAGTCCACGTCCATGTCCACGTCCACGTCCACGTCCACGACCATGTCCACGTCCACGTCCTCGACCACGTCCACGTCCACGTCCACGACCACGTCCACGTCCACGTCCAAGTCCACGTCCACGTCCACGACCACGTCCACGTCCACGACCACGTCCACGTCCACGACCACATCCACGTCCACGTCCACGACCACGTCGACGTCCACGTCCTCGACCACGTCCACGTCCACGTCCACGACCACGTCCACGTCCACGTCCAAGTCCACGTCCACGTCCACGACCACGTCCACGTCCACGACCACGTCCACGTCCACGACCACGTCCACGTCCACGTCCACGACCACGTCGACGTCGACGTCCACGACCAAGTCCACGTCTACAACCACGTCCACGTCCAAGACCACGTCCACGTCCACATCCACGTCCAAGTCCACGTCCACGTCCACGTCCACGTCCAAGTCCAAGACCACGTCCACGTCCACGTCCACGTCGACGTCCACGACCACGTCCACGTCCACGTCCGAGTCCACGTCCAGGTCCACGTCCACGTCCACGTCCAGGTCCAGGTCCACGTCCACGTCCACGACCACGTCCACGTCCACGTCCACGTCCATGTCCACGTCCACGTCCACGTCCTGGTCCACGTCCACGTCCACGTCCAGGTCCACGTCCACGTCCACGACCACGTCCACGTCCAGGTCCACGTCCACGTCCACGTCCACGTCCACGACCACGTCCACGTCCACGTCCTCGTCCACGTCCAAGTCCACGACCACGTCCACGTCCACGTCCACGTCGACGTCCATGACCACTTCCACGTCCACGTCCAGGTCCACGTCCACGTCCACGACCACGTCCACGACCACGTCCACGTCCACGTCCAAGTCCACGTCCAGGTCCACGTCCACGTCCACGTCCTCCACGCCCACGTCCACGTGCTCCACTTCCACGTCCACGTCCATGTCCAAGTCCACGTCCAGGTCTAGGTCCACGTCCACGTCCACGTCCACGACCACGTCCACTTCCACGTCCACGTCGAGGTCCACGTCCACGTCCACGTCCACGACCACGTCCACGTCCACGTCCAAGTCCACGTCCACGTCCACGTCCAGGTCCAGGTCCACGTCCAGGTCCACGTCCAGTCCACGTCCACGTCCACGTCCACGACTTCGCCCACGTCCACGTCCACGTCCACAACCACGCCCACATCCACGTCCACGTCCACGTCCACGACCACGTCCACGTCCACATCCACGTCCAAGTCCACGTCCACGTCCACAACCACGTCCACGTCCACGTCCACGTCCACGTCCACGACCACGTCCACGACCACGTCCACGACCACGTCCACGTCCACGTCCACGTCCAGGTCCACGTCCACGTCCACGTTTTCGACCACGTCCACGTCCACGTCAACGTCCACATCCACGACCACGTCCACGTCCACGTCCAGGTCCAGGTCCACGTCCACTTCCACGTTCGCGACCACATCAACGTCCATGTCAACGTCCACGACAACGTCCACGTCCACGTCCACATCGACGTCCACGTCCAAGTCCACGTCCATGTCCACGTCCACGTCCACGTCCACGACCATGTCCACGTCCACGTCCTCGACCACGTCCACGTCCACGTCCACGACCACGTCCACGTCCACGTCCAAGTCCACGTCCACGTCCACGACCACGTCCACGTCCACGACCACGTCCACGTCCACGACCACGTCCACGTCCACGTCCACGACCACGTCGACGTCCACGTCCACGACCAAGTCCACGTCTACAACCACGTCCACGTCCAAGTCCACGTCCACGTCCACATCCACGTCCAAGTCCACGTCCACGTCCACGTCCACGTCCGAGTCCAAGACCACGTCCACGTCCACGTCCAAGTCCACGTCCACGTCCACGTCGACGTCCACGACCACGTCCATGTCCACGTCCGAGTCCACGTCCAGGTCCACGTCCACGTCCACGTCCAGGTCCAGGTCCACGTCCACGTCCACGTCCACGACCACGTCCACGTCCACGTCCACGTCCATGTCCACGTCCACGTCCACGTCCAGGTCCACGTCCACGTCCACGTCCAGGTCCACGTCCACGTCCACGACCACGTCTACGTCCAGGTCCACGTCCACGTCCACGTCCACGTCCACGACCACGTCCACGTCCACGTCCTCGTCCACGTCCAAGTCCATGACCACGTCCACGTCCACGTCCACGTCGACGTCCATGACCACTTCCACGTCCACGTCCAGGTCCACGTCCACGTCCACGACCACGTCCACGACCACGTCCACGTCCACGTCCACGTCCACGTCCAAGTCCACGTCCAGGTCCACGTCCACGTCCACGTCCTCCACGCCCACGTCCACGTGCTCCACTTCCACGTCCACGTCCATGTCCAAGTCCACGTCCAGGTCTAGGTCCACGTCCACGTCCACGTCCACGACCACGTCCACTTCCACGTCCACGTCGAGGTCCACGTCCACGTCCACGTCCACGACCACGTCCACGTCCACGTCCAAGTCCACGTCCACGTCCACGTCCAGGTCCAGGTCCACGTCCAGGTCCACGTCCAGTCCACGTCCACGTCCACGTCCACGACCACGCCCACGTCCACGTCCACGTCCACAACCACGCCCACGTCCACGTCCACGTCCACGTCCACGACCACGTCCACGTCCACATCAACGTCCAAGTCCACGTCCACGTCCACGTCCACAACCACGTCCACGTCCACGTCCACGTCCACGTCCACGACCACGTCCACGACCACGTCCACGACCACGTCCACGTCCACGTCCACGTCCAGGTCCACGTCCACGTCCACGTTTTCGACCACGTCCACGTCCACGTCAACGTCCACATCCACGACCACGTCCACGTCCACGTCCAGGTCCAGGTCCACGTCCACTTCCACGTTCGCGACCACATCAACGTCCACATCAACGTCCACGACAACGTCCATGTCCACGTCCACATCGACGTCCACGTCCAAGTCCACGTCCATGTCCACGTCCACGTCCACGTCCACGACCATGTCCACGTCCACGTCCTCGACCACGTCCACGTCCACGTCCACGACCACGTCCACGTCCACGTCCAAGTCCACGTCCACGTCCACGACCACGTCCACGTCCACGACCACGTCCACGTCCACGACCACGTCCACGTCCTCGTCCACGACCACGACCACGTCCACGTCCACGTCCAAGTTCTCCACGTCCACGTCCACGTCGACGTCCATGACCACTTCCACGTCCACGTCCAGGTCCACGTCCACGTCCACGACCACGTCCACAACCACGTCCACGTCCACGACCACGTCCACGACCACGTCCACGTCCACGTCCACGTCCACGATCACGTCCACGTCCACGTCCTCGTCCACGTCCACGACCACGTCCATGTCCACGTCCACATCCACGTCCACGACCACGTCCACGTCCACGTCCACGTCCACGACCACGTCCACGTCCACGTCCACGACCACGTCCACGTCCACGTCCACGACCACGACCACGTCCACGTCCACGTCCACGTCCACGACCACGTCCACGTCCACGACCACGTCCACGACCACGTCCACGACCACGTCCACGTCCACGTCCACGACCACGTCCACGTCCATGTCCACGTCCACGACCACGTCCACGTCCACGTCCACGACCCCGTCCAGGTCCTCGTCCAAGTCCACGTCCACGTCCAGGTCCACGTCCACGTCCACAACCACGTCCACGACCACGTCCACGTCCACGACCACGTCCACGTCCAAGTACACGTCCGGGTCCAGGTCCACGTCCACCTCCACGTCCACGACCACGTCCACGTCCACGTCGAGGTCCACATTTACGTCCACATCCACGTCCACGACCACGTCCACGTCCACGTCCATGTCCACGACCACGTCCAAGTCCACGTCCACGTCCACGTCCACGTCCAGGTCCACGTCCAGGTCCACGTCCACGTCCACGTCCACGTCCACGTCCAAGTCCACGACCACGTCCATGTCCACGTCCACGACCACGTCCACGTCCATGTCCACGACCACGTCCAGGTCCACGTCCACGTCCACGTCCACGACCACGTCCACGTCCACGTCGACGTCGACGTCGACGTCCACGTCAAGGTCCACGTCCACGTCCACGACCGCGACCACGTCCACGTCCACGACCATGTCCACGTCCACGTCCACGTCCACGTCCACGTCCAAGTCCACGTCCATGTCCACATCCACGTCCACGACCACGTCCACGTCTACGACCACGTCCACGTCCACTTCCACGACCACGTCCACGTCCACGTCCACGTCCACGTCCACGATCACGTCCACATCCACGTCCATGACCACGACCACATCCACGTCCACGACCATGTCCACGTCCACGTCAACATCCACGTCAACATCCACGTCCACGTCCACGTCCACGTCTACGACCTCGTCCACGTCCACCTCCGCGTCCATGTCCACGACCACGTCCACATCCACATCCTCGTCCACGTCCACGACCACGTCCATGTCCACGTCCACGTCCATGACCACGTCCACGTCCACGTCCACGTCAACGTCCACGACCACATGTTCTTGCAATTTTGCACTCGCTAGGCCCATGTTCTTGCTATTTTGCACACGCGAGGCCCTTGTTCTTGCTATTTTGCACTCACTAGGCCCTTATTCTTGCTATTTTGCACACGCTAAGCCCTTGTTCTTGCAATTTTGCACTTGCTAGGCCCATGTTCTTGCTAATTTGCACACGCTAGGCCCTTGTTCTTGCTATTTTACACTCGCTAGGCCCTTATTCTTGCTATTTTGCACACGCTAGGCCCTTGTTCTTGAATGTTTGCACACGCTAGGCCCTTGTTCTGGCAAGTTTGCACTCGCTAGGTCCTTGTTCTTGCAAGTTTCCACACGCTAGGCCCTCGTTCTTGCAATTTTGCACTCGCTAGGCCCTTGTTCTTGCTATTTTGCACACGCTAGGCCCTTGTTCTTGCTATTTTGCACACGCTAGGTCCTTGTTCTTGCAATTTTGCACACGCTAGGCCCTTGTTCTTGCAATTTTGCACACGCTAAGCCCTTGTTCTAGCTATTTTGCACACGCTAGGCCCTTGTTCTTGCAATTTTGCACTCGCTAGGCCCATGTTCTTGCTATTTTGCACATGCTAGGCCCTTGTTCTTGCTATTTTGCACTCGCTAGGCCCTTATTCTTGCTATTCTGTACACACTAGGCCCTTTTTCTTGAACGTTTGCACATGCTAGGCCCTTGTTCTTGCAATTTTGCACTCGCTAGGCCCTTGTTTTTGCAATTTTGCACACACTAGGCCCTTGTTCTTGCAATTTTGCACTCGCTAGGCCCATGTTCTTGCTATTTTGCACACGCTAGGCTTGTTCTTGCTATTTTGCACTCGCTAGGCCCTTATTCTTGCTATTTTGTACACGCTAGGCCCTTGTTCTTGCAATTTTGCACTGGCTAGGCCCATGTTCTTGCTATTTTGCACACGCTAGGCCCTTTTTCTTGCTATTTTGCACTCGCTAGGCCCTTATTCTTGCTATTTTGCACACACTAGACCCTTGTTCTTGCAATTTTGCACTCGCTAGGCCCTTGTTCTTGCTATTTTGCACTCGCTAGGCCTTTGTTCTTGCAATTTTGCACTCGCTAGGCCCTTGTTCTTGCTATTTTGCACTCGCTAGGCCCTTGTTCTTGCAATTTTGCACACGCTAGGCCCTTGTTCTTGCAATTTTGCACTCGCTAGGCCCATACTCTTGTTTTTTTGCACACGCTAGGCCCTTGTTCTTGCTATTTTGCACTCACTAGGCCCTTGTTCTTGCTATTTTGCACACGCTAAGCCCTTGTTCTTGCAATTTTGCACTCGCTAGGCCCTTGTTCTTGCTATTTTGCACTTGCTAGGCCCTTATTCTTGCTATTTTGCACACACTAGGCCCTTGTTCTTGCAACTTTGCACTCGCTAGGCCCTTGTTCTTGCTATTTTGCACTCGCTAGGCCCTTGTTCAGGCTATTTTGCACTCGCTAGGCCCTTGTTCTTGCAATTTTGCACACGCTAGGCCCTTGTTCTTGCAATTTTGCACTCGCTAGGCCCTTGTTCTTGCAATTTTGCACACGCTAGGCCCTTGTTCTTGCAATTTTGCACTCGCTAGGCCCATGTTCTTGCTATTTTGCACACGCTAGGCCCTTGTTCTTGCTATTTTGCACTCGCTAGGCCCTTATTCTTGCTATTTTGCACACGCTAGGCCCTTGTTCTTGCAATTTTGCACTCGCTAGGCCCATGTTCTTGCTATTTTGCACACGCTAGGCCCTTGTTCTTGCTATTTTGCACTCGCTAGGCCCTTATTCTTGCTATTTTGCACACACTAGACCCTTGTTCTTGCAATTTTGCACTCGCTAGGCCCTTGTTCTTGCTATTTTGCACTCGCTAGGCCCTTGTTCTTGCAATTTTGCACTCGCTAGGCCCTTGTTCTTGCAATTTTGCACTCGCTAGGCCCTTGTTCTTGCAATTTTGCACACGCTAGGCCCTTGTTCTTGCAATTTTGCACTCGCTAGGCCCATATTCTTGCTATTTTGCAAACGCTAGGCCCTTGTTCTTGCTATTTTGCACTCGCTAGGCCCTTGTTCTTGCTATTTTGCACACGCTAAGCCCTTGTTCTTGCAATTTTGCACTCGCTAGGCCCTTGTTCTTGCTATTTTGCACTCGCTAGGCCCTTATTCTTGCTATTTTGCACACACTAGGCCCTTGTTCTTGCAACTTTGCACTCGCTAGGCCTTTGTTCTTGCTATTTTGCACTCGCTAGGCCCTTGTTCTTGCAATTTTGCACTCGCTAGGCCCTTGTTCTTGCAATTTTGCACACGCTAGGCCCTTGTTCTTGCAATTTTGCACTCGCTAGGCCCATATTCTTGCTATTTTGCAAACGCTAGGCCCTTGTTCTTGCTATTTTGCACTCGCTAGGCCCTTGTTCTTGCTATTTTGCACTCGCTAAGCCCTTGTTCTTGCAATTTTGCACTCGCTAGGCCCTTGTTCTTGCTATTTTGCACTCGCTAGGCCCTTATTCTTGCTATTTTGCACACACTAGGCCCTTGTTCTTGCAACTTTGCACTCGCAAGGCCCTTGTTCTTGCTATTTTGCACTCGCTAGGCCCTTGTTCTTGCTATTTTGCACTCGCTAGGCCCTTGTTCTTGCAATTTTGCACTCGCTAGGCCCTTGTTCTTGCAATTTTGCACACGCTAGGCCCTTGTTCTTGCAATTTTGCACTCGCTAGGCCCATGTTCTTGCTATTTTGCACACGCTAGGCCCTTGTTCTTGCTATTTTGCACTCGCTAAGCCCTTATTCTTGCTATTTTGCACACGCTAAGCCCTTGTTCTTGCTATTTTGCACACGCTAGGCCCT